TTTTGCCAGTAGGTTCCCCGACCAAGTGCCATCCCAGAACTGTAGTACCAACCCTCATGCACGTCTAGGCTCCGTGTACGGCCTCTTGAAATTTTTGGCGGGAAAACCACTAACTCTGGAACCAGAAAACTAGAAAGCTGAAATTTTGAGGGGATGCTCCCCATCTATGTAGAAATTAAAAATTCCTAATTCAGCCCCCGCCTATGCGTGGCTCTCACGTCAAGCCTGTCAAAATTTCTGGCTGGAAGATCGCTAACTCGCGAACCAGAAAAGCTGGAAGGCTGAAATTTTAACGGAATGTTCACTGCCCAAGCGCTACGTAGTTGCAAAATTAACTCCCTGTAATTCAAGGACTTGTATGTCACAAATTCTAGCTGTTGGATTTCAAGCGGTCTGACTACAGCACGAAATACTTCAAAAATGCATGATCACAAGGGCCCGCTTGGTGCTCGCAGCCAATGATTGTTCACTGTAGCAACGCTACAGCATAGCACACCGAAAAAGCATAAAAAGCGCCAATGACGAAGAATTTGACTCGCCGTGAGTCAAAATCAGTCTGTGCTTGAACGTAATGTCGCGGTTTTCAGGGCACAACAAGGTTTAAAATGTGATTTCAGGCCATCATTTTCTTAACATGTTATGAACTTAACCTAATAGTTTTCACTCTGTAGCTTTTCCTCAAGAATTATAAATTATCTTAAATCCATGTAGACTTCCAGCTACTCGTACTGGCTTTATTAGTAGTAAATCAACGGCGAGAGAAATTTGCAGTTTAGCAGCATCAGAAACTTTCCACCAACAAACCTCGAAGTACCGAGGAGGTCTCGATGTTATTAAGATGACGTTACATTTCGAGGTGTGCTGGATTGCGCTCCTGTTTCAAATTGCTATGCGCTCTCGTAGTCATACGCGCAAGTTATTTCGTCCGAGTAATGATTGCCAATGATCAGGTGAAAGGAATACTGCCCATTTTTAGAAGTGCAGGGCTGCTTTTTTTCAAACGATTAGAATAAAACTTTGCTCTACAACCTATTTTTTCGACTAACTTATTGATTTCATTGACATAATAATTCAAGTTACAGTTACAGTCAGAAACGACCTTTATAACTTACTCTTTATGAGAAGCAGAGGCACTCGAAAGTAAAATGAGTGGTAGTACGTGCGAACAGCAACCACCAGTGGCTCCCTCTTTTGAGAATTGTCCGGAAGCAAGCTGACTGGAGGTCATGTCTTTCTGGCATGTGCCAACACTAATTTGCAATCAGAATGGATTGCGGAGGGATCGGCTTTCTCCGGGCGGGGTCAAACATTTGACCTTCAGCGCAACGGTAGCACTACCTTCCAATACATCATGCCAGCCATCACAATTTAACTGCTATCAATAATTTAAGAATCATAAATAACTCACTGACATTCAATGCTAGAACAATCAATTTGCACTGGATCGATAGAATCAAACAGTTCGGCAACTCCATCCTGAAAATCGTGCTGCAACGAAATAGACGACAGCGGCTGCGCCCAGTGGCCTTTTAATTTATCCAAATCCAACTCGATGCAGTCGCATTTGTCTGATAATGTTGACTCTTTGACAGAACTGAAACTGAAGTGCACACGATTAGTTAGCTCACGCATAACTTGTAGTCGGGACGAATGCAGTTTTTGTGCTTTTTTGCACATTTATGCAAATGCA